AGGTGTACTCCTACGGCCCCTGTAGTCTCGGCTCCAGGCGCCTGTGCATTGGGGTGAAGGTTTCAGAAAGCTCTAGAGTTCAGGATTTAAGCGTTTGGGTTTAGGATTTTGGGTTTAGAGTTTAGGATGCCGGGTTTAGAATTGAGGGTTTAGGATTTAGGATTTAGGGTTTAGGGTTCAGGATTTCAAAGTTTAGGGTGTAGGGTTTTAAGATGTCAGGGCATTCGGCTCGGAGGGCTTTGGAGTTCAGGATGTGAGCGTTTGGGCCTCATGGGCTTCGCAGGAGGGACCCAAACTAGGGACCCGAAAAGGCACATAAGCATAAGCATTTTGTGGGGATATCCCTACCTTATGGGCTTCCTTTTAGAGGGGGTTCATATGGGACATCCCTATCCTAATTTTTGCTTATGTGCTTTTTTGGGGGCCTACAAACAAGCATCCAGACGAACACGCCATAAGGTTGGGATAGGCCATAATCCCCTCTTTAAGTGAGCCCATAAGGCTGGGAGATCCCACCCTTAGGGAGTTCAGGGTTTAGGGTTTAATGTAGTAACCTGATTTGGAAACCTTGGGCCTTTATTGGGGTTCCTCTTGAGGATCCTGTTATTTTGGGGTTATATGCCCAGGGTTTCTTAATCAGGTTCCTACATTAGGGTATCTTGGGGTGCGTCTTTGGTTCTTTAGACATGCCTTGAGGATCATGGAGGTCCAGGCTCAGTAACTTACGGCTTGCGGTTTAGGGTTTAGGAATCGTTTCAGGCTTCCGGCTCTGCGAATTGGAGTTCTAACGTTGACACAACCCTTGCAACCCTTGTAGAACGCTAGGTAATGACAGAACCCTTACAGAAATCCAAAACATGCTTAGCGGTTGAGTTCATAAGCCCCCAAAAAGTGTACACTTTCAGTTTTATCGTGGGTAATATTATCCCCAAAAGTGTAAAGTGTATCCACTCAGCTACTAAGCAGGACTCCGAAGCAAACGGTGCCCCCCTTGTGCGGTTAAAGTGCGGAAGATGCCCAAAGTGCTCTCGCGTGTGCCGCCCCTCCACCTGGGTGGTTGTCAAAATTAGGGGGACCTTATCTTGGGGTCCCTATGACAAGGACCCTACTAATCAGGGTACTATATTAGGGTCTAAACTATGAGGGTGGTTGTCAAGATTAGGATCCCCTTTTTGGGTCCTTATTATAATACGGCACCTAATATTTAGGGTACCCAAAAGGGGACCCCAATTTTGGCCGCCCCTCCACCTGAATCAAGTCGAGGGCTTTTGCTCAGCCCGTGTTAAATCAGGAGGCAGGCAAGCCGAGGTCAGATGCACTTGCACTCCGTTGGTTTGGGTTTTTGGGGTTTAGGGTTTAGGGTTTGGGGCCCTTAACCCTAACCCCTAAATCCTAAACCCGGGGCCAAGGGTTTGGAGCTTATTGTTTCGGGTTCGATCTAGGGTTCATCGTCCAGGTGCTAGTTAGCTAAGGTAAAAGCCAGAAAGTTGGAATATGATTATCCTAGACCCTTTAAGGTAAATTATGGAGTATCCTACCCTGAAACCATATTCCAACTTTCTGGAGCTCCCTTTAGTTCCTGCCTCTCTCCTATATGCTAGAGCTGTGGAGGTGGGAGATAGATTCGGGACACCTGGGTTTGAGTTCGGAAATGAAAGATTCAAAAGATCTTGCTGCAGGTGGTCAGGAGACATGTGAGGTTCTGGATTGGAGTCAAAATGCGCCTGAAACCTCCCACCCTTCCACCATAAACTCAAAAGCAACAAGCCTAAACCGAAAGCCCCAAAGCCCTAAACCCAAACCCTGAACCTCTAAACCCCACCCTCCATGCCCTGAATCCTTTCAGCCTAACCCAAAGAGCCCGGAAACCAATCCCACAGGCACTAAAGTGGTCGTCATATCCAGAATGGGCTTCTGGATTCCTATGAGCTTGGGGGAAGTTTAGGGTGTAGGGGCCGTAAAATAGACCGCTAACACCCTTCCCTTTCCGGAAAAATGGGCACCTAGAAAGAGTCCAATGTCCAGTAAAAGCTGCGTGCCCTAGGCTGTGCCAGGTTAGGGGTTTCGAGTTCAGGAATTTAAGGCTGAGGGAAGAGGCATGCCTTCTTCGCTATGGTCTCCTTATCATGGAGTGGAGTCCTAACGGTCGCTGCGGACCTGTACACACCACACACAACACCGAGGTGTAGGGTGCAGGGATTCTTAGCCTTAGCCCCCCCTAAACCCTAAACGCTAAATCCTAAACCAGGCCTTGTCGTAGTTCAAGGCATTGGCGTTCATGACCTTGCGGTTCATCGGGCCTGGTGGACAGGAAGTACTATATAGTATAGGGCCTTAATAATTAGAAAAGGGTCTTGGGACCCATCATACGATAAATGTATTAAGGAACCCCCCAAAAAAATTGTAATTACTTGGGCCCTATATTACCACCTTTCAAAAAGCGCAGGGATACAGATACCTGCATGCTCTTTATGGTTTGTTGCAGTCTTCTCATGTTAAGCTCTCAACCCCTGAACCCACGCCTGCAGCCGTCATAGCTGATCTTCATCGACGTCAATGTAGAGTTTACGCATTCGGGCTTGGTGTTTAGATGTGCTGTGGCTTAAATTGCAAGCCCGATAGGCCAAGAAATAGCAGAACCTATTGAATAAGCATTCGGGCTTGTGCTTTGAACTCTAAACCCTAAACCCCTAAACCCCTAAACCCTAAAGGTGAAATTCGGTGCTATGGAACACGCCGTAAAGCCCAAAAGCTGCGGATCCCCAAGCCTTGGCCGAAGAGGGCCTTCGTCTCTGGCCAAAACCCGGCATCTGAACCTATACTACACACTCTTACTCTGGGCCTAAGAATAGGGGCCTGAATAATTAGACTGGGGTTTTGGGGGCCCGTTGTACTATATTTTATAACAAGGAACCCCCCAAACTACCATATCTGACTACCCCAATAAGCCACCGAAATGAAAGGTCAAACTTTCCGATTCCTACTAAACTATAAGAGCCCAAAAAGTTTTCAAGGTTAGGTATTGGGGATCTAAGCACTTTAAAAGGGTTTAGGGGTTTAGGGTTCTAGATTGTCTGATAGAGGGAGTGTATGCAATAGGGTAGGAACCACAGACATTCAACAAAACGACACTGCCCTCCTCCCACTCCCACATCGCAACCGGGCGCAAATCCTGAACGACAGCAAAATATTATTGCTACCTACCTTTTCAGCGCCCACTGCGAAAACAAAAACAAAAAGCTGAGCCTGTTCGCATCCCGCCGCGGTGGTAGAACCGCCTTCCCCACGGATCAATCTCCAGCAGGTAGTAGACGTCCTGCTATTGTTCTGGTCGGCGGGTTGAGGGTGTAATATAGTGGCCTTAATGATTAGAATAGGGTTTTGGGGCCCGTTATGCTATACTTATAGTCTATAGCGGAGCCCCAAAAATAATATTGGCAATTATTTAGGCACCTCTACTAGGGCTTAAGCTCTTTATACCTTTGATACCTTATGGTTGCGGACCTCTGACGTCTTCGGAGGGATTAGGGATGCCGTGCTCCATGGATCATGGGATTTAGAAACTAGGGTTACCCAGAGGATCCAAATACCCAAATAGCAAGGTTTTAGGTCCCCAAACCCATACTCTGGATGGTTTCTGGACCCTGAAACCCTAGTATTTGGGTATTTGGACCCTTAGGGTTATGATTATATGCTACTTATACCTCCAGTTATAAGGTACATTATAAGCTTACTTGCCAAGTCCCATGATCCTCCAAGTGGCGTTTGGGGCTCTCCAGGGCTTCAGCTTTAGGGGTCGTTCTTGGTAGGCCTTGCATAGACAGTTGGGTGGTTGTCAAAATTAGGGTCCCTTTTGGGTCCCTATTATAGTACGGCACCTATTATTTCGGGTACCCAAAACGGGACCTCAATTGTGACAACTACCCAATTGAGGCTTAGTCTGGTTTGTTGGGGTTTGGGTTTTAGGTTGCGGGGACCCTAAGCCTCTAAACCTTACTTAAACCCTAAGCCGTTGACGCGAGCCTTAGTGCGGTTTGCGGGGTTTGGATCTTAGGTTTCGGGGGCCCCGGACCCCTGAACCCTAAACCTTAAACAATACCTTCGCCCGGAATAGCCTACCTCATGAAGGACTTACATAAGGAAACCATAATAATGAACCCTAAACAGGGTTAAGGTAAACCCTAAACCCCGGAGTTGTTGGGGTTTGGACTTTAGGTTTCAGGGACTCCGGAGACCTAGCGGATTAGGGCTTAGGGCTTTAGGGTTTTAGGGTTTACGGTTTAGGCCTAAACCCTAAACCTCAAACACTGAACCCTAAACCCCGGAGCCTTGACCCCTAGCTCTGAACTCGAAGCCCGCAGCCACTGGGCTGGTGACCTCCAAGCTTCTCTGACTTGTCCTTTAAGCCCTTTGAAAAGTATTTACTAATATGGCTCTCTACAAAAAGGGAAATTCAAAAAAAAACAAAGGACAACGTTTGAAAATTACTTATGTACTACTATGAGTCTCTACAAAATAGTGGGGGAAGTTAAAAAAGGTCCCAAAGGACAACCCAGTTCTTCTTGGGAGATCATGCCGCCAAGATCCCCGAATCTACTTGCTTTCAACTTAGGCTTTACGGGCTTCGGGTTCAAGGGTTTGGGGCCTTGAGGGTTTAGGGCTTTAAGGGTTTGGGGTATCGCGAACTTGTCCAGCATCCGGGGGAACCAAAGGTTCACCTTTGGGAGTATTTTGGGTTGTAGAGGGCTTATAGTACCCCAAGAAGGTTAAAGGTTATCTACTCTGCAATCAGGCCAGCGTCTATATGTCTACCCCCCAAACGTCTTAGAACTCGAGCATGAATCCCTTAAAATGAAGATATACGATATGTTAACAAGCTTTCGCAGCAACTGGAAGTTGCCACCTCTGCTCTGCAGGAGCAGATTTGCAACCAGTGCCACGTATCCGAAAACGCGCTATAACAATCTGAAGCACTGCACGACCGGGACAACACCACCGTGCTACAACACTTGTGGAAGTGGCACAAACAAGTACTCCTGTTCGTCGCTCCAGCGCTGCTTGATGACGTGCTCGAGCTTCTGATTGACATTCTGCTCGCTTCGGAGCCATGTGCGTTTGCCTCGGCGGCCTCTGCGTCGTTTCTTCTGGTGCCATGGCGCTTTGCGCCACTGAGCGAAGGTTGTCTGCCAGGAGGCCTTCATGTCGTGAGCATGTGCTTCGGCTTGACGTGCCTGCGGAACATGCGACACCTCTGTGGCTCTGGGCGGAGAGTTGGCCATCTGTAGCTGGAGGGCCCGCGGGAGTGCCGCAAACATCTGAACAGTATCACGGCAGGTGGCAAACGTGTGATGTTCACAAGAGGGGTGTAATAGTAAGGGATGTACATTACCCTTCTACCTGAAAGTCTTCAACAGCCAACTTCTGCACGAAATCACTGTACCCCCAGAGGCCACCCTACCCAAAGGTGACATCTCTGGCTTAGGGACTGAGGGTTCATGAAGGGTTTCTAGCTGAGCCTTCTGCCAGATGTCGAGTTGAGTCCATCTAACCCTAAACCCTAAACTACGGTTAAGGTTTAGGGTTTAGGGTTTAGGGTGGCCCTAAACTCTAAGCCCTAAACCCTAAGCCCTGCCCATGGTGCGCACCAGCTCGTAGGTCTCGTAGCCGAAGCCGAAGGAGATGCGCCCATGAGGCCTCTGATGGACTGATGGGCCCGACACCCCCCCTGCGATCGTCTGGCGGTTTAGGGTTTCCAGCCCAAAGGGTCCAAAGTACCTATGGGTTTCTATATTAGGAATTTCAATTATGATTTGGGGAAGTATTCCCCATAACAGTACCTAGGGTTCAGGGTGGTTCTTGTGCTGGTTTCCGGGTTCAGCACTTTGGGGAGGAACAGGCTAGCAAGAAAATGAACACTAGATCCAGAAGGTCACGACTCGGCATGAAGGCACGTTTGTTTTGTAGCCGGTTGACTTAGCCTCATGTTGGTCTACGACGGATGCACTGTTGCGGAGATGCGGCAATCTGCCCCTAAACCCTAAACCCTAAACCGATTGATGACCTGTGTTGGCCGCCGAAGGCTCTTTAGCTGGAGACCGAATGTCCGAATGCAAGAGCCTCTTTTGAAAAAGCGGCTAGGGTTTAGGGTTTAGGGGTTTACGGTGCTGTTTTCAACATACATTGAAACGTTCACCTACAGAACCTCGAATTGAATTTAAAAGTTTATATATATATATATAGTTATGTCTAGATTGCGGGCCTGTAGTCGAACTTCATCCAGGTGTCGATGTAGACCTGCACATGGGGGGGGGCGGGCTCCAGAAACTCATGCTGCCCTTGCTAGCGGTCCTTAAACCCCTCCCTAGCCCACCCAACCAAAACGCCAAACACCCAACTGTAAAGGGTTTAGGGTTAAAACCCAGCTATACCACAGTATACCCAAAACATCCACGACGCATTGTTACGGGCAACCTCTGGAAGGAGTATATACTGTAGGGGCCTTAAATATTAGAACTAGAAAAGGGTTTGGGGGTTCCCGAATATAATTATGGTATAATATACCCCCAAACCCTATTCTAAAAGGGTTTGGGGGTTCCCGAATATAATTATGGTATAATATACCCCCAAACCCTATTCTAACCGTTAAGGCATAGCTTCAACAGACCTCACGACCCGAACCCTGCATTCCCAAAGACACCGCAAACCAAACACCCCGAAGACCCTTCGACTGTGCCACTTCACCCCCGCTCCCCGAAACCCAATGTAGGCGCCTCAATAAAGGAGAAACCGGGCTCGGTGATATACTTTCCTGGTACTATGAAGGAGCGATATGTGCACACTATTGCTAACACTCACACCGCAAAAACGCCCAAACCCCTGAACTCCCACGAACCGAAATCCTCAAACCGACATGCTAAAGCTCCTGCCTCTCAAGGCTATCTTTCCGATTCCCCCGCGCGCCTCCACCTAGCCCTGTTAAACCCAAACCCTCCACCGCACGCCTAGGCCTAGAGCCCAAAACCCTGACCCTGAACCACTCACCTAACCCCCCTCAAAAATGTCGCCCCCTTCTGGAACGCCTGGTGCATACGGAGGTCTGGCCGCACATTGATGGCCTTGGCTCTGTTCATTGCTTCGGGTTTCGGCTTTCGGGCACATACAGGGTGATAAGCAATGGCGTGTGGAGACCTTTCAGGGTTTCGAGGCTGGGGCATTCGGTCATAGAAAGGGTGCTAAGCAGTGCTTAGCGTAAAACAAGATGCATCCTGATTAGGACTTAGCAGCGGTCGCGTATACGAACTAACTTCAAGACCCTAGTACCACCAGTACATGAAAAGATTGCCTCTTCTGTTCGGTAAATATCACTCCGACCCCTAAGCATCATGAACCGTGTTCTATCATACTATCTTGAGCAACACGAATCTCAACATGACAACCACTCCCCGTCTCCTAGTTCCACGACGATGGCAGAAACCCTACAAATTGCTCGCGAGACGACGACAAACCGTCGCAGTATGACCTGCTACTCCTTCTCATCTGTGCGTCCCTAAAGCAAAAAAAATCCTAAACTCTAAGCCCCAAAAAACCCCTAAACCCTTTCCCCCACTAAACCCCGAAAACCCGAAACTCTGAGCCCCCAAAACCCCCCAAAGTAAACCCTTTCCCCACTAAACCCCCACTACCTTCCCTTCCGCTCATCCGAGTCCCCCCACGTTGCGGTAGAACTGCTTCACCTTCCAGATAGCCAGGGGATCGAACCTCAACTTGTTTAGGGGTTTAGGGGTTTAGGGTTTAGGGGTTTAGGGGTTTAGGGTTTAGGGTTTAGGGTTTAGGGGTTTAGGGGTTTAGGGTTTAGGGTTTAGGGTTTAGGGTTTAGGGGTTTAGGGTTTAGGGTTTAGGGTTTAGGGTTTAGAATCACCCTCACTAAGCCCTTCCCCCTACAAACCCAAGCTCCATGTCCGAAAGCGTTTAGTCTAAACCCCCCTCTTGGAGGGTCGGGGGACTTAGTAAAGAGCTCCTTAAAAGGCTCCTGTAAGGGATCTAGGGTCTACTTGGAGGGTCAGGGGAATTAGTAAGTAGGTAGTATAAGTAGACTTATAAGTACACTAAAAGGGACCCTAATTGGTCTTATGGTACTTATAAGTCCCTAGAATGACCAGATACTAAGTCCCCCGACCCTCCAAGTAGGGTTGATGGTACGGTGTAGTTAGGGTTCAGGGTTCAGGATTTGGGGTTTAGGGTTTGTTTTTTTAACTATGTGAGTGCGAGACCCTACAAAACAGTGTCCGGTCCTATGGTAGGTTACGGTTGGGACTACACTCACCTGAAAAATCGCGATGGCCATTGTCCCTATGATATGACTATTCCAAATACCTGTAGGGTCATACCCTACCCCCTTTTAAAGGTACCTAATTTCTTGGCTACGATCTGTGCTTGAAGAAGGTACCCTAACTTACTACCCCAATAAGCCAGAGAACTAAAAGGTCAAACTTTCCGATCCCTACTAAACTACAAGAGCCCAAAAAGTTTAAAGGTTGGGTGTTGGGGATCTAAGCTAAAAAGGGGTAGGGTATCACCAACAGGTACTCCGCAAACCGTTCTAATCATCAAGACCCAAACCATGAAACCCTCTATAAAAAGAGCAAACCTCATAGAATTTCGGCACTGCCCCCTTACAGTAAGAGTCTATAATCGGACTACTGTTAAGGTCCTCATATATCTGTATGACGAATATAATTCAACTATTACTGAGTGGGGGCCGTACCCAACACAGAATCCGAAAAAAACCCAAAACCCTGAACCTTAAACGCCCAGTCTTACGAGAGGTTGTTTGCTCCTGCTTCTCACAGCTGGCTGGCTCCTCATTCTCACACTGTCTACTTTGTCAAAACTTATCTGAACCTCTCTCTAGTCTCTCTCGAACGGTACCCCTAAACCCTAAACCCTATACCGTTTCTGTTTCTCCAGTTCCGCTGGTTGTGAAATTCTCGTCTGCTTCCCAGCAGAGGGTTCCTTTTCCAGCATCTGTCGACTTGTTGGCGGCTCTTTCTCAAACGCTCTCTTTCCCTAAGGGTCCATGTACCCATATAGTATATACATGAGCCCCGAAGTACCTATATAGGCGACTACATTGAGGCCAATGTATATACTATATGAGTACATGGACTGTTACTAGGTTGGCCTTTTAAAGCCTCTGAAAATATCCGTAAATAGGGTCCTATTTAGCCCAATAAGAGAAAATATAAAATGTCCCAAAGGCCTACCTAGGTTAGGGTTTGTCAACTTCGCAAGTCTCTCTCTCTCTCTCTCTCGAGCGGTTTGCTTCTGCTTCTCCAACTTCTTCGCAACACCGGTTTCAAGTCTATTGGTTGTCAAACTATCCTTTAAAGGGATCTATAGTGCATCCCAGAAAGTTGGAACATAGATTTAGGATGAATAGTGCTGGGATTCCCTCTACCTTACCTGAAGGGCATGAGGGCAATGATGTTCCAACTTTCTGGCTTCTACTGTATAGGGGTTCTATAATGGTTCCTTTAAAGGGGTCTATAAGGGTTACTATAAGACTGGCCCAAAACACCCAGGGAGTAAAAGTTGAAACTTTCAGAATCGGCCACCTTATAAGAACCCCAAAAGTTGAAAAGTTGAGTTTACAGCCAATAAGACTATCTAATGTAGGAGCCTGATTAAGAAACCCTGGGCCTATAACCCCAAAAAACTAGGGTTCATATGCAGGAACCCCAATAAAGGCCCAAGGTTTCTTCATCAGGTTCCTACATTACTCTCTTTCGCGCTGTAATCATCAACACCCGATCGACTGGTGTCCGCCTTGGTTCTCGAACGCTGCTGTTTAGCAAACGACCTACCCCCTTCCAGTTGCTAGGATGCCCAGCAACCTAGGAAAAAAAGGGCTCCCTTTTTGGTATTGGGTAACTTTTTTTATAAGGAACCTGGGCTAAAAAAAGGGAAGAAGGGTAGTACTGGGCATCCTAGGTTATGGTCTCTTTCTGAAAGTATCTAGTTCCGTTCGATTGATTTGCGCCCCTTTTAGCACGCAATGGCCAGAACTGAAAGCAAAAACACGCTAAAACCCTCCAACCCTACAAATGCTAGCCTTAGACCTGGGATATGGGTGGTTTTCAAAATTATGGTCACTTTTTGGGTCCTTACTATAATACGGCACCTAACATTTAGGGTACCCAAAAAGGGACCATAATTTTGACAACTACCCATATGTTATCCTGACCCGAATCCGGCAAACCACCAAAGTGACTTCTATGTCAAGATGCCAGGCGATGTCGTCGAAGCGAAGCTGGTACATGGAACCTGCCAGTACCAGTAAACCACCACTACCAGACTACCCGTCACTGCCACCACCACTAGTTAACATCAGCGTCAACGACGACGAACGACGAACCACAAACGAAGACGATGACGGCGACGCCGACAGCGACGACGACCATCCCTGCGACGGCTACGACGATGACTAAGCAGCAAGTAGCAAACAGCAGGCAGTATACAAGAAAGAAGCAGCAAACAACGGCAAAAGCCAAAGCAACCGCAGCAAAAAACAAGCCACGCTCCTAAAACCTCCTAAAGCCCTAAACGCCTTAAGGGAACCCTTATTGGCATCTCTGGGGAGTCCGTTTGAGTGCACGTAGCTGCAGCCGTGCCGCTGGCACAGCCGGAGCCGTAGGTGAAGACCAAAAGGATCTTTCCCAATGCCTGGCCAGGAGTTTAGGGTTTCGGGTTTACCTGGACACTAAAGAACCTACCTTTTCTAAGGGCTCCCAGATTATGTATAAGTCCTTAAAAAGGTAGGTCATCCAGGGTCCAGGTAGGGTATGCCTGGCTCAACAGGTGCTGGGGTCTGGGTTTGGGTTTTGGACTTGGGTCTAGAGTTTAAGACCGAAGTCAGTTGAAGCTTCCGGGGTTGCCCTTCATTCTAAGGGTGAGGCCTAAACTCTGCGCCCTTAAACACCCAAGCCGATACCATAAGGACCATAGCATCGTCCCAGCCAAGATATATCCTGGCAAAGAACCTTTGGGGGTTTAGGTACAGCCCTGAACTCACGTAAACCCTAACAATCCCCCACCCTCAAACCACACCCTGCTAGGACCTTTGTGGCCCCTGATAGAAGCGTACACACAGACACACACCCACCCACGCGCACACACACACACACACACACCTCCGGCCCACCTCGTCCCACTTCGTCATGACCACGGAACTGATGTTCAGGAAGGAGGACACCTCGCAGAGAACTTGAATTTTGGGGGGGTCTGTGCCTAGGGCTGCCGGCGTACGAGCCCTCGAGATGAGTTTAGGGTCTTGGGCATAGGGGCTTGGGTTTACGGTTTCGGATCGACGTAGACCCCTTGATGTCTGAACACCCTTCCCCCAAGAGCCGCAATACTAGGATCCCTACTATAACCCCTAAACCCCAAACCCTAAGCCAAGGGGGTTTGATAATCATGGGTCATGGGACTTAAACGACAGCCGCTTTGTAGACAAAGGGGGACAAGGAAATCGTAGCCCAAGGCCTTGATCCTTAGAGTAAACCCCATAAAGTTGGAAACCGGATTAAGGCCAAATAGTGCTGGGATTCCCTATACATTACTCTTAAGGACTGAGGCTATGGGGTTTCCAACTTTTCGGCTTTTACTGTAGAGTAGGTTTCTGGTGTAAGTCATACTACCATGGGCCTAAGGTTCCTTCAAACGGGTCTATAATGCGTTACTATAAGGGATCTATAAGGGTACTATAATTATGTATGAACCTGATTACGAAACCTTAGGGCCTTTATAAGGGTTCTGTAAGGGTTCCTTCAAAGGGTACTATAAGGGTACCATAAGGGTTCTGGTGCAATGTAGGAACCTGATTAAGAAACCTTGGGCCTTTATAAAGTTTCCTTATATGAATCCTACTAGTTTGGGGGTTCTGGGCCCAGGGTTTCTTAATCAGGTTCCTACATTAAGTCATACTACCATTATCGTCAGGATCCCAAGGGAATACAGACTGCTGCCCTAAACCCTGAACCCCACCCAAACCCTAAACCTTAATTATATTCATACTTCTTCTTGGCTGACTTCTGAACCCCTCCAAAAAGTAAAAATCTTAGCCTCCTTATAATAGTCCATATAGAAACCCCAAAAAGTTAAAGTCCTAAGAGCCAACCAGAGGAACGCCAAGTCTTTGTTGACAGAACATTTGACAAAGGCCTGGCGTTCAGTCATCTTGCAGCTCGGCTACACACCGTTGAGGGTTCAGGGCTGCCTTTGAAAAGCTTGGGGTTTAGGGTAACGGTTGATGATATAAATCCTGCATGACCCATAATAAGGAATATGCCATAAATCCCAAAGTTTAGGGTCCTTAGGGTAATGCAGGATTTATATCATCAACCGAAATTTCGGATTTGGGGTTTAGGGTTTGGGGCTCAACCCAGCCATGTCTTCCGCGACGGACTTGTCCCAAGCTGCTCGCCCAGGAACCCAAAGCATCACACAAAGTGAACCGTTAACCCTAAACCCTACGTAAAGCCTAAACCCTAAACCCTAAACCTAAACCCTAAACCCTACACCCTAAACCCTAAACTCTAAACCCTAAACCCTAAACTCTAAACTCTAAACCCTAAACCCTAAACCCTACACCCTAAACCCTAAACCCTAAACTCTAAACCCTAATTTCTAAACTCTAAACCATTGGCCGCCCGCGCCCGGCGGCGGCCGGTACCACTGAACGCTACCGCTTCGAGATCTGCTTGCTTGGCCAAGCAGATCGAGTCTACCAGACCTGATTTGGCACTGCTAGCCATGGGGCACAATAGTAAAATTGGGTACCCTTATCTCCCAGCGCGAGAACCCTGGCGGGGACGGGACCTGGTAGAAAGAGCTTGACGAGCGACCCTGGCGGGGATGCCTGGCGGGGACTTGGTGGACGGACGACTTTGGCGGGGCTGGCGGGGACGGCGGGCAACCCTGGCGGGGACGGCGGACGACTCTGCTGTGACAGCAACTAAAAAGACGACTCTGGAGGGGGACGGCGGACGACCCTGGCGGGGACGGCGGGCGACCTTGGCGGGGACGGCGGACGACTCTGGCGGGGACTTGGCGACTCTGCATGACAGGGACTGAAAAGCCAAAAACAGCTTGGCAGACGACTCTGGAGGGGATGGCGGACGGGACGGCGGGTGACCCTGCGGGGACGGCGGACAACTCTGGTGGGGACTTGGCGATGACTTTGACAGGCACGAAAAGGCCAAAAACAGTTTGGCAGACGGACGACCCTGGCGGGGACGGCGGGCAACCCTAACGGGGACGGCGGACACTCTGGCGGGCACTTGGCTTTGACAGCAACTAAAAAGGCCAAAAACAGCTTGGCAGACGATTCTGGAGGACGGCGGACGACCCTGGCGGGGACGGCGGGCGATCGTGGAGGGGACGGCGGACGACCCTGGCAAGGACGGCGTAAGGACCTTGGCGGGGACGGCGACCCTGACCAAGCGACCCTGGCGGGGACAGCGGGGTGACCCTGCGGGGACCCAGTTCCTCCAAAAAGAGCTTTGCGGACAACCTGCGGGGCCCGTTCGTCGTCCTTCTCTTTGAAGTAAAGCCGCAAAACAAGCTTTTTCTGGTGTGGACGGTTCGTCGTCCTTCCCTCTGAGGAACAGGCCAGGCATCAAACAGCAAATAAAAACCAGCCGTTCCCCATGTAGACGTTCGATTTGGCAAGCACCCTCTCCAGAAACACATCAGGGGCATCGCAGCAATCAGCCCATGAAAACCAGCCATTGCCCATGTAGACGCTCGATTTTGCAAGCACCCGCTCCAGAAACACATCAGTGGCATCGCAGCGGACAGCACATCAAAACCAGCCATTCCCTATGTAGACGCTCGCTTTAGCAAGCGCCCGCTCCAGAAATACATCAGCGACATCGAATCAAACAGCAAACAAAAACCAGCCGTTCCCCATGTAGACGCTCGATTTTGCAAGCACGCAGCAAGCACCAAGTAACACAGAGAACGAATCTGCAAGTAAATTGCTGTAAATTCAGCTTCAGCACTCAATTCTCAATATTCCCGAATCAACATAATCACGTATCCCCAAGTAGACGCCCGGTGATGCGACCCCCCCAGGTGCTTCCCCGCAAGGTGGGCTGGGATCCAACAAGCATGATGCGACTTAGCTCCGTCACTGTACAGGGTGTGTCACAGTGCCGTGGCCAGGGGGAAATGTCCGTTTCACGTCTCTGGCGGCTGACGACTATAGTTTGACGGGGACGGGACGTCCTAGAAAGAGCTTGGGGACAGTGGCCGACTCTGGCAAGGAGCTTGGAGTGCGAGTCTGGCGGCAAAGCTGGACAATTCTGGCACGGACTGCCGGGCGAAAAAACCCTGGCGGCCGACTGGATGATCAGCACTCTTGGCCGGACTGGCACGGACAGCGGACGGCTGCAGACCACTTCTGGAGGCCTGGCACTGGGCCCTGACGGACGACTCTGACGACGGCTGACGGACGACTCTGGCGGCCGGCGAGGACGAGCGAGGGCGTCGCTGCTATTTTGTGACTACATCACTCGGATGTCCCTTTGACGTTCCGCAACATTGCAACGTCTTTTCGGCTAGTGCAGCACTCGAATAAGAAGAAGCAGAACACAAAACCCGTTCTAGTCCTGCTTCGGGTGGTTGTGGGTGGGTTCCACGTTACGAAGACGGCGCGACCCACGACCACTCCATGGGTGGGGCGCGCCGTGGCACTGTGACACACCCTAAACCCTAAACCCTAAACCCTACACCCTAAACCCGAAACCCTAAACTCTAAACCCTAAACTCTAAACTCTAAACCCTAAACCCTAAGCCCTACACCCTAAACTCTAAACCCTAAACCTTTAACCCTAAACCCTCCTTGATAAACCCAGGCCTTGAGCCCCAAGGCCCTCTACCCCAAACTGTCAGCTGATGGCCAACCTTCGATGAAACATGGGTAGTGGTCAAAATTAGGGTCCCCTTTTTGGGTACCCTAAACAATAGGGTTGGGTTAAGGACCCAAAAAGGCACCCTAAATTTGACAACCACCCACACGTACCAGCTCAGGTCTGAAGTCAACCCCCAAAAGCCCAATACCCCTTAAATCAGGAATTTGGCTTAAATCATAAGTCCTCTAATAGGGGTTATAAGTATAGTTACCCTACTTATAACCCTACTTATGACTACCCATAATATGAAGCCCCTAATGATTTAAGGTATATTCCTGAATTAAGGGGTATTGGGATTTCTGGGAAAGAGTAACATGGGAGTTTCCGAAAATAGGGACCCTAATATAGTACCCTAAAGAATAGGATCCTTATTATATCGGTCCCAAAATAAGGTACCCTTAACCCTAAGCCCTTATAGATCCCTTGTAGAACCCTTAAAGGAACCCAGAACCCCAAAAAGGAAGAGCCCCTAATTTTCAGAAACTCCCACATGGGAAGCCCACCGTGTGGCAAGGCCCGATGATCTTGAGTAGATTGACCTGGGTGGTTGTCAAAATCGGGTCCAGGGTTTAGGGTTTAGGGATTAGGGTTTTGGGTTTGGGGTGCCTTAAATATAAGGTGCCGTATTAAAAAAAGGGACCCAAAAGGGGCCATAATTTTGACAACCACCCACCTGAAGGGTTCTTGTGACTTTCCGGGTTGGAGGCGGGTTAGGCGATTAGGGTTTAGGGTTGCGCCCGACACCCCAAACCCTAAACTATACTGAACTTAGAACCCTAGCAAAAATCATAATTGTAGCTGTTTCTTAAAGATTATAATAACCCAAAATTTAAAAATATATTTCTCAATGCCCCTAAGTAAACAAAGTTTTAGGGGCTTAGGGGTCTCTGAGGCCTCGGGCGCTAGGGTTTTTTAGGCTTCCGGTGCTTTCCGAAGAATGGAGCGACACCGTTCAGCAGTTTCGGGGGTCCGGGGCTTAGGGGGCTTAGGACTTCGGGGCTTGGAATTGATGAATTTGGGGAGTTCCGAAAACTAGGGATACCTTTTTCGGGGTCCTTGTAATGAGGGTCCTACTTTTTAGGGCGCTCTGTTAGGTTCCCCTGTTTTCGGAAACCCCCATGTAGGGTTTGGGGCTGAGGGCTTGAAAGGGTGTCAGGTACCGCCTAAAGGGTTTGGGGCTTGCAGTTGAGGAGCTGGACGGTTTAAACCCCAAAGCCTAAACCCTAAACCCTTAAACCTCTCAACCCTACATGAACACGTAAACCATAAACACTAAATCCCTCAACCCGGATCAGTTGAAACGGGTTTAGGGCTCAAAGCAGATCGGGAGCTTTCGATTCGGGGCGCAAGGGTCGGTGAGGAGTTCAACCCGTCTGGGTTGGAGGCTTTTGATGATTTGGTGATTTAAGCGAACTGGGGTTTAGGGTTTCGGTCTGGGGCTTGGGGGGTTTAGGGGTTTGTGGGTTTGGGGTTTACGGTTTTCGGGTATGGGGCTTTAGAGGTTAACGGGTTTAGGGTGTGGTCACCTTCGTGTCGCTTTAACGTCCGGCCCTTGGCCAGTCTGTCTCCGACTTGCAGGGGCTCAAATAAGTCAGATCCCCGTGAGAAGGCATGCACATACGTGAAAACACAATTGATAGGTCTGTGCATCGCGTAGATAAAGGTACCCAAGTCACTGGGTGGCACTTGGAGGTTCTGTTGCAGTGTTATGTCGCGGGGGGGTATAGAACCCTAGCTTAGAAGGGGCCCCCACCCTGTAATAGTGGTATAATAGGAAAATAGTAGGGCCCTACTATAATCCTTATAGTCACTATTACAGGGTGGGGGCAGTTTCTAACCCCTAGCCCTCCAACCTTGCAGGGAGTGCCCTCCAGGTCTGACCTCTGCGAACCCCCAAACCCCATTCAGCTATTAGGGCCCCCGAAATACATGTCAGAGCCACAAACGACGGTTGCTCACTGAAGTAAAGTACGTTAACTTATATATGTAAACGAAAGGTCGAGACTCACTACAACCAAGTTCATGAACTCCTGAACCCGCTAACATCGAAATCTCAAACCGTTACATCGATAAAACTGAAATAAAACCGAAATCATCAAGTTCTAAAACCCTGATGCCGAAATCATAAAGCTCTGAGCCGCGAAACTCGAAACTCGCCCTATGCAGCCGAAATCCTAAACTCTTCAAGCCTGAACCTCTAGAACCCTGAATCTTACTACTTCCCCAATAACACACAAAATGAAAGATCAAACTTTCCTATTCCTACTAGACTACAAAAGCCAAAAAGTTTAAAGGTTGGGTATTGGGGATCTAAGGAAGGTCGGAACTGCAGCAGTTCCCTCCCGAGAGTCCGGGTGCTCGGGCAGACGGCAGCAGCTTCTCCACGACGTACTTCTCGCGAATCTCCGCCTATTCTTAGCTTTGGTTAGTAGGGAATGGAAGAATGGTAGTAAAGGTAATTATAATTGTATCCCATTCCTCCATTCCCTACTAACCAAAGGTAAGTATTAGGTGTATGGCTCGGCCATGGGATTTCGGGTTTAGGGTACAGGGGGTAATTGGGTACATGGCGCGACTTTGGGATTTGGGGCTCGAAGCTCGTTGCGTGGGGTTCACGGTTTACGGGTTTCGGATGCAGCTATTAGGGGTTGGGGTAATTACGGTGTTTCGGGTTTAGGGTTCAGGGATGTTCACGGTCTAGGGATTTGATGAAAATCCAGTTCTCGGAAAATTAGGGGGCCTTCATATAGTAATAGAGGAACCTGATTAAGAAACCTTGGGGCTTTATTAGGGTTCCTTTATAGAATACACCAAAACCGTTAAGCCATGAGCGGTCGCGCTAACCTTTTACTCAGAGGGCTTGAGCATGATAGTCACGTCATAGTATACACAACATGATGACTGTACACGACCATACAAACTCCTACGCAAGCTGCGATGCAAAACTACACCCCCCTCACCTAAAGGCACGGTCACTGCATTCAAAAACACAACATACCTTCGCCTGCAGGTGGAAGAGCGCTTCGGCTCGGAGTTTGACGATCGGCGTGGAGTTGCCTCCCGCGTCATCAGTTGTTTCAGCAAAAGTACATGTGACTACCGAGTGCCTCGAGGAAGGGTGCGAAAACTGCATGCGAGCTTTTCTTCAAATGCAAGACGCTGGTTTCAGCGTGGAGCAAGGACGATAGGAGTTCGCCGCACAGCCACTTGAAAAATATCACAGGCCGGGTGAACATCCCTCTTGCTCGAAAGAATCAGACTACTGGGTCGGCTCATCAGTTCCAACGCCATCCGCGATTGCGCCACTCACGCCAGTCCTGGTTATCCCAGTTCTGGCCGCGCCATGATCCCCAGGATGACGAAGACCAATTCTGCCACCAGGATTGATTATCCCAGTCCCAGTCGCGGTTAGTGCGATCGGCGGCCTCGGCGTTAGCCGGGCTTTTGCCTTTTCCCTTCTCTGCTGCTCGGGCATATGTAGAGCCCTTGCCACCACCTGGCGGATGCTGCTGGGCATACTTCGGCTGGGCAGCACGACTTTGATTGGCCTTTTTGATGGTTTCATCAACCGTCTCCACCATGAAGGGTAGGTCCTTTGCCAAAACGGTCTGCAGGTCCGTACCCACTGCAGCGGGATCGTAGTTGAGGAGATCCACCTTGCCGTGGCCAAAAGTCTGTAGACGGATGCCCCCCTTTTGCCTGGCGATGTTGTGAGCGAAATCTTGGAACGAAAGGATGGCTCCGTACCATGTAAATGCTACTGGCGTATCCTCCGGCGTGGACGTTAGTCCCGCTGCGCACAACTTACCGCCAATGCCATCGTCTCCGGTAAAGAAAACGATACGACACTCTGGAACCTCGTCCGTGCGGATCTGGTGCGTGGAACTCGCCGCTCTGGAGGATCCAATAGCCAGCATGCGTTGCGATCGAGTGCGGCCAGGGTTCGGAAGGTAGGCGAAGCAGAGGCAGTCGAGGGCACGGATCGTTCTGCGTGTGTATCCCTCTTTGGCCATTGAAATTGCGTATTCATTGTCATGATTGAACCTCGCCACGCAATCAGTGTAGCCCTTTTTCACGGCTCTCTGCTTTGCCACTTTGGCTTTCCGAATAACCTCGCCTTCTAAGGAGTTCATGCCACGGCCGGCGACATCTTTCGATGCGCTTTGAAGGCTTGGCCTCACTCCCACTCGTTCAGCGGCATCACCCATCTCCTGAAGCAGAGCTTCACGCCCACGTGCCAACAGCGTCCGTCTGCCCTGTGCCTTCAATTGACCTGGTCGAACTGGCCCTCCGCATTGAGAGCAAATCCTTTGGCCTTGAAGACACTCAGCTTTGCAGTGGTAGCATTTGATTTTCTCCAAAAACGCGGCGGATGGCTTGGTCTCACTACCAGCATAAAGTACTGGTTCTGGCCTTCCCACCGGCTCCTGGATTGCTTCAACTGGTGTACCCTCAGCATCCAGCGTCACCGTTGTCGCCATTCCGTCACCGATGTACACAGTCCTGATTGGAGGACCCGGCTGTGCAATGATGGTGCCTGGTTCAACAAGCGGCCTCTCCTCTACGGAGGGCATTTGCTCATCATCAGGGGCTTCATCGTCGTCAGCCTTTGCAGGGGCATCGGTGATAGCCAACGATCCCTCAAGCACATCAGCGACATCTGGAATGGGCGGTAGGGATGTTTCCTCAGCTGGAAGGGTACCATGTTCTTCATCAATAGGCGGTGCGAAATTGTCCTGAGTCGTCTCCTCAGGCCTCGGGTTCATCAAGAACGATATCGATGCCGGCCTCAGCGTTAGCTGGGCTTTCACCTTGTTCCGTCTCATCAGGAGGGACAGCGCCTCCCGCACGGGACCAAAGTACGACATCGCGTTGCGTGTCATTGATGAACAAGATGGTCGAGCCGGGCACTGCCTCGGAGCACAGTATGCCATCAGATTCCGTAAGGAATAGGTCGCAACCAGCTTCGAGGACCTCCCGGGTGTCGAAGACGATCTCAATTGGTGCACTTGCACGGAGTCCTGAACGTACCTTTTGCTCTTCGAGCGGCAGCGGCGCAAAATAACAATGCGCCTTCTCAGAACCTCCAAAACCAGGCAACAAACGATCTTCCAGAATCGCATACGCCGCATCATGTGTTGTGCGATGATAGAGTCTGGGCGGCGCCTTATCAATCGGGATCAACGGCCTGCCCTCTCGGGCGGCATTAGCCAACTCTTCAGAACGCTGCAGTGTAAGATATGCCTTTGCAATACCTGCTAAGTCTCTTGCCTTCTTTTTAGTGGGTTGAGAATTAATTACCCGGCTATGACATCCCATTGGGTATCTTTCCTGTCGATTCCTATAAAACCCGGAAATCTCCTCTTGACCCTAAAAAACCAGCCTTGCTCGTCATCGGGCTTCAGGCAACGGTGGCCAGCTCCGTGTGATGGGGTGTATAGGTACAATGTGTCTACCGCATAGGATTCAGAAGGGAGTTTGAAGGTCTGGATTTGTATATGGACCCTATATATATACCTATATATATATATATATTGATATAGCCCTATGTATAATATATAGCTAACTAGTGTGTGTGTGTGTGTGTCTGTGTCCTTTCCACCACGCCTTCATAGCCTTCATATATGTAAATGCCTGTAGCAAGTGTTCCGAACTTACCTCAGTTCAGAGTGTGTATCTAGGCCACATAATTAGAAATTCTATGCTTGCACAATGGTACCTGAAGTGGTGGTGAGTGGCCTGGACTACCGAGCACACAGCTGGGAGCTCAGAGTCTTTTTTTCAATCAGCAGGCATATAAATCCAGCTCGGCAGCCTGCACCAGGGCCATGCTTGACAGACATCATGCACACTGCATGTGCATGAGCTTTCGAGATGCACTCAACCTGTTGTGATTCTGCAGCTTTTGATCTTCAGGGCGTGTGTATCTCCACGCTGTGTCTTCGATATAGTCGAACGATGGCTGCAGTGGCCAAAGGTGATGGTGGTATGAATGTTCAAGGGCTTGCTTTCATTTGGGAGGAAATCGCTGACTTGCGCAACAGTGCGCGGCACAACGGTGTGTTGATGAAGGTTCCAGCTGGGGCTTCCTTCTGCGACTGCAACCGTGCAAATGCTGTTGCAAATACTGCTGCACTCATGCCATGCTTGGAACGCATGCGTGAGAATGACCTCAAGCTTCCCTACATCAGCCCTTTGCAGGATGAGGTGGATCTTTTCTTTAAGCAAGTTCACCTCAAGATTCCAGAGAAGCTTGCATACCGAACAGCGGGTGAAATCAAGAAGATGCTGTCTTTCATCAAACGGAAGGCGCAGAAGAAGGAGATCACGAAGGAGATTTGCAGTTCATGTCTCTATGTAGCTGCATATAATTCAAATTAAGTGCCTGTGATGTATATGTCATATATGTACCGTGTCTGATATAGTATCTATGTACGAATATGTGCTACATGAATTTATCACACATGTATCACATACACGTCTACACATGCACGTGTGACTTATTTAAGTTCAAAGAGAACTACTCCAATAGTAAGATAACTATACTCCAATAGTTGCATGTGGCTTGTGCAGGATACACGATTTCACAAGCTGCTACTTGTCATCAGGCCTGACCTGCAGGACTGCTTGGGTTTTTGTGACAACATGCAGTGTACCTAAGCTGGATCGCTAAGCAAGTGGAGTGACTATACCCCCCCACCATACTCATGAAGAGTGTGTGTTGCAGTTTTGGTGTGTTGCCACATCCGTTCGACATCATTTGCAGGACCACATCGATATGTACATGGCAGGATTGCTGCGACAGCAGAATGCCCAGCGGGCACAACGAGAGGCGACCGAGCGAGCACGCAGCAACAGCAGCCTAGGTGAAAGCTCAACAGGTGATGACGACGATGACACGGACAACACAGTCGAAGGGGAGACTGACCTGGACGAGTTTCGTCGTTGGCTTGAGCTTCCTCGAGGTTCGGCGGAGGTGCCAGCCAGCGAAGACCCATCTGTGGGTTCGGGATCCGCATCCAGTGTGCCATCCGCGGGGTCAGAAGCCACATCCCGTGTGCCATCCCAAGCAGCAGGTGTGTCCCATGCAGAAGCCAAAGCCTCATCCGCAGTGCCATCCGAAGCAAAAGCCGCACCCCCGGTGCCGTCCCAAGCCAAAGCCTCATCCGCAGTGCCATCCGCAGCAAATGCCGCACCCCCGGTGCCGTCCCAAGCCAAAGCCTCATCCACAGTGCCATCCGAAGCAAAAGCCGCACGCCCGGTGCCGTCCCAAGCAAAAGCCTCATCCCCGGTGCCATCCGAAGCAACAGCCTCAACCCCGGTGCCGTCCCAAGCAGAAGCCTCATCCGGATCAGGGGGCCCATCTAGCTACAAGCAATCGTCCGTACCAGAGCTTCCGAAGGCCCCCCAGGCGACGCTGAACCGGTCAAAGGTTATGGGTACTGGTGCAGCAGAGCCAGGGTCCAGTAAGGATGGTATGTCCACTTGGCATGTAGCCGGCAACTGTGACAAGTGTTTGAAGCCTCCGGACTTGTGCAACTTGCTGGCAATGATATGATACCTTTGAATTGTTTGATGTTGTATCTTATCCAAGCGGGGTGGTGGGTCTGGTGATTCAGGCAAGTGCAAGCAGCTCTCCGCCGTCCGGGAGCAGATGCAGGCTATCATAGCCAGGAAGAAGGCCTACCTCGCAAAGCCACTTTGGCTGAACAGCTATATGTCCTTGTTGTCTCAAGTGTGCCATTGGGTGTTTGCCCAGTTACTCTTACCTCCAACCAATATGTACCCCTACTTTAAAGCTATATCTAGGAATGTGTCTAGCTATTTTTGTTTCTACGCTATATATAGGTGTGTATATATATATACACATATATATATGCATGTACACAGCTCAGTTAGTGGTGTGGCCCTTGAGATAGAAGTTGACATGAGTACACACCTATAGGCATAGAATGAGCACATATGCATATGTACATGTGTATATATATATATATATAGTATATATAGGGGTGTATGCATATCGTATATAGCAAACACGCCTGCACATCTACACAAACAAGCAAGCGCACAGGAATCATGCATGTACATGTGTACCTAAACGCAGGAATCGGCACATGTCTATGTGCGAATTATATGCATGTTGCAAGTGTATGTACATATATATATGTATGTGATCTCTGTGTGTGTGTGTTCATGTCCAGAAGTTGGAATGGTTGTTCACGCTGCTGCCTCGTTGCCCATGCTTCTTAAAGATATACAAAACCCCCTTCCGGTCTCTGTCCCACCTTGCTAGTAGTCTGTACTTTCATGTCTAGATCCTCTCTCTCTCTCTCTCTCTCTTCCTGTCTCTCCCTTCCTGTCTCCCATGTAGGTTTGCATAATCCCTGGGTGTGTTTCGCTGCATTCCAACTACTTGTCTGGATGAGGCTCCAAGAACAGGCTGCTGGAGGAGCTCCGGTTTCCGTGTCCGAAGCTGTGGTGGTGCCGCCTGCTAAAGGACTTCATACTCCGCAAGTACAAATTCATAAATGAAAGTTCCACATGGCATGCATGTTCAGAAAGTGATCGTAGATACAGCTTCCACATACAAGCGTTGTAGATACAGCTTTCTGTGAAACATATACGTGTGCATGTGTAGACACATATATATGGACGTGGTAGTGTTTATGTATGCACATACATATGTGTGTATTTACAGATACACAGATAATATATACATGCTAAAATGAACAGCTATAGGTATGTGTATATATATATAAAGATAGAGAGAGAAAGAGACGTGTATGCATATACACACACGTACATATCTATCTGTCTATATATATATATATATATATATATATATATATACCTATCTATACAATATACGTATGGAAGTGTTGAAGATACAATCGTGTGTGTTTAGATGTCTAGACGAGTATATAGGTACACATACATACACATCTTTTATGCAGTACATATACTTTTGATTATACATATACCTACAACATATATACTGAGTTCGTTCCTACATATGTACACATACATATATATATATATATATATATATATATATGTATATATATGTATGTATATATGTATGTACAGAGACAGACATGAATAGATTCAACATGAAGATACCCATACATTCTAGACATATAATGTATAAAGTACCACTATATATATATACATATGTATATATATATATATATACATATATATATATGTATAGGTGTATATGTACATAAGCTGCGCACACACACATACGTGCACATACATAGAAGCAACATAAATATCTATCGAGGGCTTGTTGTTTGGTGTGAGCTGACATCTGCACAACCTAAATTTATGACATAGTGGTTCTTTGCATAGCACTGGTATACTGAGCTATGTGCATGTATATATATATGTACATAGCTCAATATATATATATATATATATATATATATATTGTGGTTAGCTTTGCAGGACCATCAGTCGTGAACCCTGACACGATGGAGACCCAGGTGATGGAGGACGTGGAGAACCAGATCATCGATGTGCCTGTGCTACATCGGGTAGGAACAGGCAACACATGTGATACCTTGCAAAATCTAGCATCATAAGGTTAAGCCCGTGTCGCCGGACAAGAATGACGATGGCACGAAGCCTGAAATGCCTCGTGCAGCGCCTGGGTTCCATATAAGATGTTCACTGGCACACTTTGGGGAAGTTAGGTGGGAAAATGAAGCAAGTCCAGCATTTGTGTGGGCTCAGGTTCTCCTGCGCACGCAACAGCTGCAGATGAAGAAGGAGAAAGCCGAGGCAAGGGCAAAGGCAGCTGCTGCCAAGGCAGCAGGGAAGGACAGCTTGGATGATGATGGAGCTGAGGGCTCTGACGGTGGCCATGGGAAAGGACGTGGCAAGGGTGCCCGTGGGCGTGGTGCCCGCGGTGGGCGTGGCGGCGGTGGCCGTCGTGGCCGAGGGGGCCGAGGTGCTGAGGATGCTTCGCTTCGCAGGCAGCTTTTCCCCGATGATGCGGAGGAGAATGCAGCTGAGAAGAAGGGGAGCAAAGCCAGCAAGCCGAAGCCGAAGGCAAGCCGCAAGCGAGCCCGGGCTGTTGAGGAGGACGAGGATCGCGATCTGGGCTGGGATGGTGATGAAGATGCTGGGGTGGCCGGGGCTTTGAAGCTCCCGCTCACACCTGAGGTGGTGCCCGGTGCTACTCCGAGAGTGCTTCGCAAAGGCCGGTCCCGCTGCCCAACCAAGCCTGTGGCTGCGATGCTTACTCCTCGAGCCCATGCGATGGCTGGGCGCACGCCCAACAAGAAGCCCAAGGTTGCGAAGCCAGTGGTGAAGAAGGTGGCTTTGTGGCAGACAGAGGATGGCGGGCTCAACGAGGATTGGGTGGATCAGGCTACCAAGAAGCGCATCGTGTTTCTCCTTTCGGACATTGAGAGTGCCACCTTTGAGGATGTCAAGGCCCACCTGCTGGCCCATCGCTCTGTCTTCAAGAAGACGCAGGTGACGGCTTATTGGACGAGGAGTGCGGTGGGCTTGAAGCTCCTGTGTGACCCCTGCCGACCCCAGATGTGCACGGTGAGCTTCAAGAAGGACTTTCCCAACAAGTGGAACCACACTATGGTTGCAGCGTATGCGGTTGTTCTCAAGCTTGTTTCTCAGCTCAATTAACCTAAGTATGGGAGAATATAAGAGTTCGTGCCATTCTGAATTTCCCGATGGAGCTCAGTGTCCAGGAACGTCGTTCAGTGTTCTGATGTCTTGTTGTGACGTGTGAATCAGGTGGTTATTGCCTTGGAAGTGACATTATCTCTACCCATGACCCTATATAAGTCATATATAACCTTATGGTTATTGTAGGGAGAGTTTGTGTTAACGACTATATGGGGTGATACATCTACTATCACATGTGAATAAAAATGGCATCGACATGAGCATGCAGCATGCACAAACGTGTGGTACCACACAGGTATGTAATGCTCATGCTTTTGGTCTCGGTATATATGTGTGAACATGTATACCTACATGTGTATGTGATTATATGCACTTGGCTACATGCAGCCAGCCTGCTTGCTTCCATTCAGGCGTACCTTGATGTATAATATACATATGCATGATATAACCTACATATATATATATATATATATATATATATATGTGTGTATGTATATGTATGTATGTATGTATGTTTACATACATACATACATATATATATATATATGTGTATATGTATGTGTGTGTATATATATATATATATATATATTCTATGTATATATACATGCATGCACATGCACACACATACACACATACCTACTTAAATTACATCTACCTGCACACGTAGGTACGTACATATACCTATCTGGATACATGATTAAACATAACCTAACATCTGCCGGTACAATAACCGGTTGATTGATTGAGAAGCTTACTCATGCTTACTCTCGTAGACATGTGTGTGCTGTTCGAAAGAGAAACACTGAGCATCCACATGTGTACCTTTTACAAGAGGGACCAACATATGAACGGCTTCAACATCCGAGGCTGAGCTGTTGGAGGAGAATGACAAGGACCATGCGATCTTCGACCTGAACCGTGTGGACGATCCACGGGGCCATTTCCAGACCAATCTCGCTGTGGCTTATGCTAGTGGCCTCGCCGCCCTGAAGCAGGTTTTGATGGAAGACGACAGCTGAGTCGTGTGACTGGGTGTCTGAGGCTAAGAAGCTCTGGCAGTCTTATCGTTCATGTATACTGACAGCATTGAACTACAGGGTACTCGCCCGTTTTGGCATGCTTCAATGTAGCATGGGAGCCCTATGTATAAATACCCAATAGTGCAGAGCCTTGGCCTGGACCCCAGAGCTCGCGATGCAATCTTTCTCGCCACGGGCCGGTGCGCATTAGAGCACGCTCCTTAGATCAGCTAGCTGTGTGTGTGCGTGAGTCTTCCCACGTGCGCTGGAGTGTGATGTGTGCCGTTGGCGATTCAATCATGTAGGATGCTGTGTGGCTACGTAGGCTAGCGAAGCCTGGTCATGCAGACACGCTGGTCGAACATGGGACCTCTGAAGAAAAAAACATTGTGCCTGTGTGTGACTGCTCCCTGCACACTCAGCAATGATCTTATGCAGCTCTGTGACCAATCATGCTTGCGTACACCGTCCCTGCACAGAGTAGATTATTCCTTATCTGCTGCCCAGGTCAGACATGCCGTCCTTACGGGGCAACCGGAAGTTCGCGAAGCTGGGTGTTCTGAAGGAGACCGAATGTCTGGCTGGCCATGTTTTACATCTCGTTCGTAGTGTCAGGCCCTCGAGAATTCAGTGTCCGTTACACAGAAAGATAGCCAGAGTCGCTAGGAGAGGTTTGGTGACGAGGGTCTATATAGCATCACTAGATGTAGTCGAAAGCCAAGGTAGGATAGTTTGACAAGGGTTATACAATGGGATCATGCACTACTCCCCTCCCCAACGGATCCTGAGAAGCTCGATATAGTGCTGAGTGTCAGCAGCTGCCATCAGGTTTCGAGTCAGGCCAGGTGCACAGTGTCAGTCTCCCAAATCCAGTTGAGAGACCATC